CACACACACACACACACACACACACACACACACACACACACACACTGTGCTTGTCTTTCCAGGCTGGTTTATGCTGCGTCCACAGTTTTCTCTCTGCCTGCCTCCAGTTTTGTTTCCTGACCGTTTCATTTCTAAAATTGGAGCGTGGTGTAGGAAATGTCTGACGCTGATGTGTTGCCTTCCTGTTTCCTGCGCAGTACATGGGTTGTGTGGAGGTGCTGCAGTCAATGAGAGCGCTGGACTTCAACACCAGGACTCAGGTCACCAGGTGAAAACAAACTCTTCTGCTCTGTTCTTTGTTTTAAATCACCCCTCGTTTAAAAAAACCTAAATGCTGCAATAAATCAAGGGTTATTGTGCTTTCCCAAAGTATTTTCAACTTTTCTTTGGAGCAACTAATGTGTCTTTGTGACAAGTTTCTAATTACAAATGTTAAATGTAAAGATCTTAAATGTAAAGATGCTTCTTTGCTAATTCGTCTGTTATGTATGAGTAGGGCTGGGTATCGATTCAATTCACGATTCAGTTTGATTGATTTTTAAATTAGTTAAGGATATCAAGCAGCAACACATTTACTTTGATATAGAAGACATTCTCAAAGAACTAATTCTTTAAAAATAAACTAATTCTAACTTGGTTTGTTGGTAAAATTATAAACAGAACTAATTCTTTAAAAATAAACTAATTCTAACTTGGTTTGTTGGTAAAATTATAAACATGAAGGACAAACTTGTAACTTGGAGTTTAATCCTGAAACAAACTGAAGTTTCAAAGGTTTGAACTAAAAAGGAATTGACAGATAAAGTGTTGTTGATACATTAGATTTCTAAGAAGCTAAATAATTTTCTTGGTCACTAAGAAGTGATGGAATAATGTTACAGGAGAAGAGGTGGGATAATATAAATATACTGCTGCCCACTCTTTTGACAGTATGAAAACTGTATATTGTATGCTGTAAACTGGACTTGGGTGTACCCCGCCCCTCGCACTGGGACTGCTGCCTATGGGCACCAGTGACCCTGAAAAAGGAATAAACGGGTATAGATGATGGATGGATGGATGGATGGATGGATGGATGGATGGATGGATGGATGGATGGATGGAAAACTGTATTTATGACCCATCACATCGAAACCAGGATTAAGTCTTAAAGTTGTAAATGGAGAAAAAGGCAAATATAGTGTTTTGACTAAAATGTTAACAAAAATTGCATTTTGTCAAAAAATAATGAATAAAAGCCTTATTAATGTATCATTTGAATGAACTGTCTGAAATATAATCATAAAACTAAAATTTTTTGAAGCACTTTTTTGAGCAGTAGCAACAAAAAACTGATTTTGAGGAAAAACGCCTTAAAATGTTGAGATTTTCCCTGTGAGTTAGTAAAGTTTGTTTCTTTTTATCTGGTAAATCTCAATATTCAAATATAATCTGAGGTTTCCTCTTTATAAGGACATCAAAAATTCCTCATTAAAATGTCATAAAATTAGGATTCAGACCAAATATTTATGTATTATTGTAACCAACAAGACAAATTAAGTCATATATATGGATTTAATAATGATATCAGGATGATCCAGGTATCAAAATGTAGCTTTTAAAGACAAGAATCTGAAAATGTAATTAGGTCATTTTGACTGAATTTGACTTAATCCTCATTTGGATATTGATGGGTCACATATTTGTAATGTTTCTGTTAGCTTCTGTTCAATAAAACTTATTAACAAGAATAAAGAAAGAAGAAGGAGAACTTCAGCTAAAACATCCATCACTGTTAATTACATTAAGATGTTTCTTAAATTTATGAATAATTTTGGTAACAAAACTAAATGATTTAGTTAGACTGTCATCTTTCACACACGTCTACATGCAGAGATCAGTTTCAGTCAGATGTTCACATTCAGGAGTTTTGGTTCGAGACGCTCGAAGCTTCGTTTCCTGCTGCCTCGTCTGAGCACAAATCTTTACAAACAGAAGTCGTCATGGTCTCTGTTATCTTTAAGTTCTGCTGAGAATCAGCTGTAATGTTAGTGATTACTGTTTGTTTTGTTTTGCTCCAGACATCTTGTTGTCAGGAGCCAACATTAGCACTGAACGTCAACCTGATGTAAACCTACGGCAAGCCAGAAGTGACACACAACAGCTTCATCGCACACAACACCCATGGGGGAAAATTAATCTCATGACTTATGAATCGATTCTCCCAAATTTGAATGAAAATCGATCCAGATTAATTAGTTTTTTAAACCCAGCCCTACATATGAATAATTTGTCACACCAACAGAGCTAACTGGAGTTAACCACACCGTCCATCCAACTGATTCATCCTCTGTTTATTAGACCCTGATGTGTCGAAGTCAAACCCAAAGAAAAACTTTAGAAGACCTTGAAAAAAACCTGCTGAAATATTGATCAAGACCACTTTAAATATTACATAAAGCCTGGCATCATGGAAGCAAAGTATAAATTAATAAAGGATTACTTTTTCACACTCCATAAGGCGACCAGTTATTGTGATTTTACATTTCCTGTCCTGTTTTCCTCCTCTTTAACTTGTGTGTTTGTGTGTGTTGCTCCTGTATGTGTGTTTAAACACCCCCTGCTGTTCTTCTGAAGCCCTAAACGAGAATGTTCTGGAATTCTGCTGGTTTCCTCCTGGTTTCTGTGGCAGAGAGGAGCGCAGTCGCCGGGGCCAATAAATTATCCCGCCAGCTGCCCACATCTTTTTTTAATCCAGGAACAGCGTGAGCTGTGATACAACATCTTTGCCAAGACTTGTTTTTTATTTTTAACGTTTCAGGGAGGCTATCTCTGTGGTGTGTGAGGCGGTACCTGGATCCAAAGGAGGACACAGGAGAAAGGTACCAGAACACACCCTCGTAAAACATCATTTATTAATGAGGCTTAAGTGGACAGCAGGAGAGTGGCTTTTCCTGCTTGAGAGCTGGAATTAGCTTATTTGTCTGCCTTGTGGTCAGTTGACTGTTTAGTCCACATGCCCCCACCCTTAGAGACACACATCTTTTTTTATCATCATCATCATCCAAGCTTTAATCTCTAACTATACCCTCACTTCAGTTCAGTCTTTTACTTTAATTGGAACATTTAAGTGGTTTTAATTATTCGTACCACCTTTTCCTTCCTACATACAAACTAGGACTGAGTGGTTTATGTGACAGGATGGTAGAAATGTACCCTCTACCATCCTGTCATCAATTACATCATCACACCTGTGTCAACAGGGCTGTGAGTGTACAGACACCTGAGCAGGAGGAGTTGAAAATATAATGAAGAAATATAGTGTTTAAAACACATATAAAGAGAATAAATCCTCAAACTTTCCCCCTCCTGCTGTAGAAAATTTAACGTCGTGTGGCGGTATCATTCCCTCCCTCCTGCTGCACGTCACACAGAGCGAAGCTTTAACAACCGTAGTTTTTTATTCAATTTTTATTTTATTTTTATTGTTTTATTACTGGTTTTAGTGTTTTTAATCGTTGTCTTGTGTTTTCATGTTTTGGTTTTATATATGTACAGCACTTTGTTGCAGTTTTGGTGGTCTTAAAGGGCTTTATAAATAAAGTTGAGTTGAGTTTCACACCCAAGTTGTTGGAGGAAAAACTTGTTTTTTATGTATTGCTAGTCACAGAGATGGTATAAAAAGATGTGACGTTCATTCAGTCATAAATCCATCTTGTTAATGTAACAGTTCTGCTCTGATGATGAAGATGATGAAGATGAGAGCAGCAGCAGGTCAGTTCAGCAGGCAGAAGCTCATTGTATGGCAGGAAGATGTTACATTTATTTGGCTTCACCACAGTCACATTCCAGTTATGTGAAATAGTTTAATGACAGGACTATGTGCAGCTTAAAGTCCTGTCACACTGTAACATTTTAGACAACATTAAATTTTTATGTCTAAATGAGTAATTTTACTTGAGGTACTGGTTGTAAGCAGTGATCTGTATTACTGGATTGGACATCACGTGACTTATCGTGCGCTGCACAGGTGCCATTGCTCTGCATTGAGTTTTGACTCGGGAACATCCATGAATGGTGGTAAAAAGGGGATGCAGCAGACAGTCATGCAAGGAATATCAAAAAGGGATGCAAGATTTTATCATAAATTGTCAACACAACAACAAGATCGCAAGATCAAGGTTATCACATTTTACAGCTCATTAAAATATTTATTTATTTTAAAAAATGTCGGAGATGCGGAAAGTAGGTCAGTTATGCAGCTTGATTTTGACAACCTAATGTCAGGTAAACCAACGAAAAGACAAATTTGCTGTTCCAACAAATTATTATATTTTTATCAGTGTGCATTGCCAATGCAACGCACACTATTGTGATTCATTTCCCATCCAAGTCATCTCCACTTTGGCACGCTTCTCCTCCTGCATACTTTGTCCTAGAACTGCCATTATAATTTATATCTGTAAAGCTCCTGTGTCAAATGATGGCTATGACTTTTGGTGCCTGTGCAACTTATAGGTTTTGAAATATTAATGTTTAATAATTTATGATGGGAGTCAATGGAGCCTTGTATTGGTCCAATGCTGCCCCCTGCTGTATCTACTCAGTACTGCACCATAGTTTAATAATATTTAATCTCAATAGTTCAGTGTTTACAGTACTAATATGATTGTATTTTGATGTTTTACTATAATATTGTCCTAATATTGCTCTATTGCTGTAATATATTGCAGTTTAGTGTCAGCAATTGCATTAGCAATGTGGCCTCTTTCTGCACACATAAAAACCAAACCCTGGCAGTGCCCTCTGCCACAGCTCCAATGGTCTCATTGTTAACTCTATGGGCTTTTGTGTAGGAGAATAGAACTCAAAACCCAGTTACAGCAACTTTAACAAAAAAATCTCTACAAACTTCATATCGTCACACAATTATCCTCATTACAAACACCGGCTGACGTGACAGGCACAAGTTGATAGAAAACACATTTGAACTTGGCCACATTTCATTCTGCAAATCCACTGCTGCAGGCAAAACCATGCTGCATGGCAATGCACACTTGTATTTACATCGTAAAAACCCATGTCTAGTTAATATTGTTATTATGTTAGGATAACATTGTGAGAGGTAAATATGACTACTGCTAGGTTGAACTGTGTAGATATTACTGGTACTGATGTTGTGTCCAGTCAGCATATGGTATATCCTGTAGTTTGTGATTATATATCAGAGTAAAAAACTCTGTAACTTTTTTCCTCCACCGTACATTTCATAAGCTAAGGAGGCCGACCGCATTTATTTTCTGACCAGCTGGAGGAATTTGTCTTTAGTCACTTCAGCACGAATGAAGAACCAGCAAACAAATGCAAAATTAGAATTATAAATTCCCAGACTGCTTATAGATTTATCTCTTGAGCAAATACGTATTTTTACATGTCACAACATCGACAATTTTCTCAGCTTTAATTTAAGCCATATTTTATAGAAATCAGATAAGAAATGAGGGTGCTGTGAATATTTTTGTGACAGATTGACGAGCATCCCTCATTGAAACTCTACTGTTTTGTTGACGTGACTCAATGCATAGCAATGGCTCCTGTGACGGCGCGTCGCTAGCTATAGCGGCTATAGGCCATGTCCAATCCAGTAACATATATCAATGGTTATAACATCCATTTTATTTTGATATTGTTGAAAATTTGAGAAATGTTTTTGTTTGTTGTTGAAACCGTTTTGCAATATATATAAAACATTCATTTGTATTTCTGTTATGTTCATTTGCACTTCAGCAAAAATACTGGGTTTGATTGATTACAGTTTTCTGCTAAAAAATGCTCAAAAAATTACATTATCTTTACTTTTTGTGATAATTTTTTACTGTGATATATACTGTTACAGTGAAGGGATTCAGTTTATACCCTGATATGAATGTGAGGTCATACCGCCCAGCACTAATACAAACTTTTGTGTGTTTCTGTTTTAACCACCTAAATTAGTGTAAACCTCACCATATTCTTAGATCTGTGTCCTTAGTTCAGTAGTTTTAAAACCCTGAAGGTGGTAGGAGTACACAAAGTGGTAGGAGTACACAAAGTGGTAGGAGTACGCAAACAGAGATGTTGATTGAAGCTGATTGTCGTCCTCTGTGGTTAGTGGGCTACTCACAGGTAATTACCAGTCGCTCTCTGGTCTCTCTTCTCCCTCCCTCCTGCCACAAGGGACACGTCTTTTTTTTTCGAAGGCTAAGAAAGTACTTCTCATTAGCAGACGCAGGCCTTAGTCTGCAGTTTAAAGACTACTGTGTGTGTGTTTGTTGCGCAGTAGCGTCCATAAAACAGGTGGCTAAATGCAGCTGCCTGCTGTCAGAGCCGGCTCTGACCCAGGAATGTCTGGCAGCTCCAGACAAAGCACATTTATAGAAACGAGAATAGATGATTTGGCGGGGATCGAGGGTGACACCCAGATGGTGCTTTTCTCACCTCGTCCTCCAGATATGAATGAAAGTCATCAGATCAGGAGGGTTGGGGCGAGCGGTCCCACACAGAACGGTTTGTGTGATGTACCGGGCCCAGCCAGCATCCTGTGGGCGGGCTCGCCCGGGCTCTGTTGGTCACAGTTGGTCCTAGAGACCAGATCACTTTCCCAATGGCAGCTGTTCTGTCACTCCCACACACACACAGACATTTTCCAAACACAGACATGTCTCTCCAGCATGCAGCCATTTTATGTTGTGAAGAAAATCAAAAGATGACTGTCTGATGCAGTTTTGATTGGTGAATTGTATCCCCCTCCTCTCTGCAGCCTTCCCCTCGCAGGGTGACCACCATCCTCGGAAAGAGTAACCTGCAGTTTGCAGGCATGACAATCAACCTGACCATCTCCACCAGCAGCCTCAACCTGCTGGCCTCTGACTGCAAACAGGTTAGACTGGAACTCACTGAGGATTCTTTTAAAGGGAACCCAGACTACATGTAACATCAGATGTTAGTCATTAAACATATAACTATAAAAACAAGACTGAAAATTATGGCAGAGTATTAGGGCCACACCGTATTTTTATTTATTTTAAATTACAACAATAAAGTCAATATTACAACATTAATGTCATATAGAAATAAAGTCATAATATTACAAGATTAAAGTCATAATATTACGAGATTAAAGTCATAATATTACGAGATTAAAGTCATAATATTACAAGATTAAAGTCATAATATTACGAGATTAAAGTCATAATATTACGAGATTAAAGTCATAATATTACGAGATTAAAGTCATAATATTACGAGATTAAAGT